AACCGCTCTCTGATTATGCCAGAGAGACTGATTTTATTTTGTTGCTTGGCACTGACACTGTGGCCCATGCTCGAGGCAGGCCAATGTCAGCTGGGATGGTACTGACTGTCGCCCCTGTTGTCTCTGCAGGACGGCTCACGCCAAAGCTAAGGCTGAAGGGTCCGAGCAGGCAGCCCAGGCAGCTAACAACGAGTCGGGCATAGCCAGGATGATGGCCAGGGAGCTCTCTCCAGACTTCTACCAGCCAGGTAAGATTAGAAGCGTCTCAGTTTCCTCAGGGAATCTGTTCAAATGCTTCCCCCACTTTAGATCTCGAGGAGTTTCCCTCCTGTCTATCCTAAATCTGCTTTCCTGCAAGCTCAGCCAACCCCCATTCACGTGGAGTATAAATGATTGCTGTCCTGCTTTACCCCAATGTTTTACCTCTTGGAATATGTCAACATATCCTGGAGGAAAACCCTGTAGTCCTTCAGCTTCTCCCTGTGTTCCCGTACTGTTGGCCCATCATCTCAGCTGGCTCCAGGTCCTCTCCAATCTGTGCATGGTAAGTCTGCCCCTGACCTGGCCAGCCGAGTGTGGCTGAAGCCTTCCCAGCGCCAGGCAGAGCCGTGAGCTCAGGTCTTATCTGCAGCTCTCCTGCTGATACGTCCCATGAGCAGACATGGCTTTTTCTTGGAACAGCTTTGCACAGCTGACTCATATTCCTTATCCTGTGGGGCTCCGCACTGCACCAGGGTATGATCAGACTGAGCTAATTAGTGTCTTTAATATCCTGTAAGAAAGTTGCTCATACAAAATACTTTTTTTTCTGACTTCCTATTTGTTCACTAGCATCACTGCTAATTATTTGGCTGGGAAAACACTTGTGAGGTTCCTTCTATGAGATCGAGCACTGAGCATTAGTGGATAGGAAATATAATGTTAAAAGCAGCATTATGAGTGCCATTACCTTGCCCTAGGCCTACCTAGCTAGGCACATGTTCTTCCTGGAAAGTTTTCCTCCCAGCGAAGGGAAGCAGGAATAGAGCAGCAAACAGGGTTCCAGATGCCAACATTTGTATCCTGTCTTGGTCATTATCTGGTTTTGCTACCCAGAACAACTGCCCTGCGGCTGCCGAGGCAGGATCACAGCAGACGGTAGGGCGATACGTTAGCCAGCAGCAAAATTGGGGGGAGGATCCCACCATTGTGACTCCCACTCACCAAAACATTTTGCTTACTCCTGCCGTGATTTCAGTGCCTCCAGGTCTCCAGTGCTAAACGCTGGTCACAGGGCACCCAGTGGGAAAGGGGAATGGCTCATTCCCAGGGCTCAGCCTGGAGAGAGTCATGCTTATAGATTTGCCCAAATTCCCTGCGCTCCTGCCTCGTCCTGCACTCTCACGGCTTGGGAGACGTTGCCCTGGAGGCTTGCCCGCATCTCACCGAAGCATGGCCAGTTCTGCTGGGGCTGGCTGTAAGCTGGGAATCACCGCAGCGCCTTGGCACGTGTGCGAGCCAATGTGCGACACTTCACTTAACAATAGCTAAACGTCATTTGATCCTAACATAAGCCCCTCAGCTGTCACTCACAGCTCCACATTCACCCTTTGCATACTGGGGTATTTATAGCACAGAGGCAAAGGAAACTGGAATTCCTGATGGAAGGTTTTTGGCAGATAGCTAAGATTATTTTTTCCACCCATGACAATTCAATGAGACAATTGAAATGGTCTTTGCAAAACGCCTGGACCAGCCCGTCCTCGGCTTTTTGCTACTCAGGTGCCTGAATCCTCTCCATATTTTTATGTACAGCTTCACTCAGGTCCTAGCCTCTTTCAGTGGCCATGTAACCTGCTGGTGCACAAATTTTTCTCCTATGATTCCTTTTAACCTCAACATTTACAAAACAATCAAAGCATGACAAAGAGAAAAGTATCTTCTTGGAAAGCTGCACCATCCATGAAAAAATGTAATACTAGATCTTGGATTTTGCTAGGACTCAGGTAGCATCTGGTCTCACAGCCAGGAGAGCCTGACGGCGTTGGGCAGATACATTCGCCCCACTTTCCCAGTGTTTGGCATAGGACAAGCCCTCCTCAGCAGACCTCAGCTCTTTAATAAGTATTTATCCTTGGGTTTCACTTAGGATAACAGCTGTACCAATTTAGGGGGGAGTGATGTAAGCCAAAGTCCTTGCTGAAATGTTATGCTCAGAGGTGAAGGTGGCACAGGTGGCGGGGAGAAGAGGATCAGGGCTATGCAGTGCCCTCCAGGAAAGCAGGTTTTCTGGTGTGAATTATTGAGGAGGAGAAGAAAGCACCAGCTGATAGCAAGGAGCCTGGAGCTGCAGGCAGCCTATTTTGAGGAGGCTGAACAACTGTTGAAACGGCTTCCAAATAATCCATTTGCAGCCAGAAATAAATGGCCCTGAATGGGTCGCCTCCTGATTGATGGGAGTGTGCAGACAGGGAGAGTAGCTAAAATAAATCCCCTGCTTCTCCCCACCACCACTCCAAGGGAAGGCAGTGCCCATTAGCAGCATGCAAATCACACTACTGATTTATTAGAGGGAACGAAGGCACCCATCTCCAATTTCCAGACCCAGCTCAAGTCTTCACTGGTCCTTGGGGGAGCAGAGAAGGGGGATGAGCTGCCAGACTACGGGGACAGCACGGACCAGGGTCTGTGCCACTCAGGAGCACAGACCGAGCCCTGTGCCTCTGCTCCCCCCAGCGTTGCTTGGGCTCAGCAGAATGAGGCCAAAGCCGTTTTCAAAAGCAGGTGCATTGCTTTCAGACGTGCTGCTCTGCAATCCCACCTTGTCCCTAAGGAGCCTGTGATCGTCCTTCGTTGCTGTCATTCGTTACGGGTATCGCAGCAACATGCAGGGCCCCGTCCCAGAGTGGATCAGCCTGCACAGGACACTGCACGTGGCTGTTTTTCAGCATGATTTGCCCAGTTGTTCTGGTGGATTTTGCTCCCTACCAGCCTCATGCAGTGGGCCGTCTTCAGCACCAGGCTCTGGCTGACTTTCCTGGCCCCAGCTGGGCAGTGATTTGCTTTGCAGACATGGCCCAGGGTTAACAAGAAGAAAAGATTTAATAATAGGTGAATAACTGAGGTGATGGCAAACATTTCAAGAGCTGACAGGTTAGCATGCGAGATGAGGACAGGATGAAACCGGAAGCCCTGCGTCACCTTGTGTGACGGTGCCAGGTGATTTTGGTGCTGTTGGGAGGGATGTCCGAGCTGCGGGTGCCCGGGTCAGCGTGGAGGGGAGGTCTGTGAAACGCCCGTGCTCTCACGGCCAGCCCCGCTCCTTGCACAAGGAACGCGTTTCCCATAGGGAGGAATGAAGGACCAATTTGCTAGCAGAGGTGGCTGGAGAGAAGACGACCCCCAAATGACCATCTCCCCTCACCGTGGGAAAGGTGCAGCGTGCACTCAGCCACACTGTGAGACACCAAAGAAGCCACGTGGAAGAGTTTCTTAGCCGTAAAAAAGCTTAGGTGGGAGCTCGATCCTCTTTAGGCCTAGGATAATCCATCTATGTGACTTAAAGCCACAAAAAACAGGCTGCAGATTTTCACTGCTTCTTTACTTTCGCCTGGAGCTCCTGCCTGCTTTCCTTCCGCTTTTTTTTTCTTTGCTGCCGCCGGGATCTCCTGCCTGCTTTCCTTCCGCTCTCCCCGTGGAGGGCGGCACGAGCAGGGGATCCACGCCCGGGCCAGGCAGGTGGCAAATCCCTTCTGAAAGCACGCTCTGCTGTGGGATATGCAGCGGAAAATCCACCCTCGCTCCAGTCACCTGGGAGTTTGTCACGTCCCTTAACCAGGCCCCGAAGGAGAAATACGCAGAGCGAGCGTGCAGCTATGAGACGTGGCGTGAGGCGCTCGCGCTTGTTTCTGCAGGAGGGGGGCACGGCTAGACGGGACCAGAAAGGTGGGAGTGAAGTAAGCGGATAAAGCGGAGTCGCGCCGATGGGGCTGTTTTGTTCTCTAGCCAAACGCCGACGCGTTCCCCGCGGCAGAGG